CCTAATGTTAAGCACAACAGGCAGCATCTTGCATTAGATTTCTTCCTGTATGTATCATTTTCTGTATTATATCGTAAGCTTCAGGAGGACAGGAAATATAGCCTGTTTTGTATTTTCAATAAAGCCTAACACAATGGTCTCTGTTCAATTGCATTCAGTAAAAGTAAATTTAATTGAATATGGAACACATCTTCCCCTCTTAAACACATCCTATTGTTCCACATAACCTAAATACAACGATCACTTATTCCAGTAAAGCAAGCAACCTTTTATAGTCTCCCTCATAAAAATCCCAGCAATAACATGAACTTTTGTTTCCTTTCTTTTTGCAAAATCCTTACTAAAAGTCGGAAAAATCTTTGAAGTAGCATAGCAGAAGCAGCATAGGTTTTGGAGGAAGATGAATCAGGACTTTGATTCTAGCTCTACCACTTTACCACTTCCATGTTGTGGACTCTTTAGTTGAGTTACCTAAGTTGGAAGGGAAAGAGTAGATTAACTAAAAAAGCAAAAGTGAAAAAAGGGGTAGGGAGTGGGGAGGGGAAGGAATATGATAAGGGAACAGAGAAGGACAAGGCTGTAGTTTTAATCTCATTTTATATACACCCTGTATTTCAGACATGTTGAATGACTGGCAATGCTCCAAATAGGCCAAGACCCGAATAGGCCATATTCTTTCATACTTATATGGACGTACTACTTCCTCATCAATCATCACTTTTTTCCCTTCAATACTCAGCTCTGGCTCCACTTCCCCAGAAAGCCGTCTGTGACACCTCTGTCTGCCTCCCACACCGAGTTAGGTGCCGATGTTCTCGCCCTCTTTGCATCCAGGCCAGAATTCCATTCCAGCACTTCCATTTGTTGTCAGATGCCATCTCATCAGTTCCAACTCACAGTGACCCTACGTTTGTCAGAAACAGCCATCAATTGATGTTTGAGCCCACTGTTGAACTTATATTACAACAAAGCACTTGGTTTGCATGTTTTCCTCAGTAGTATGTTAACATCTTGGGCACTGCAGTGGTTTGCTTTATCTTAGTCTCAACATCTAGTACCAAAACTGACTGCCATGGATTCTGACTTATCACGGCCCTCAAGGACAGGGTAGAAATTGTCCCATATAGGTTCCCAAGGCTGTAACTTTTTTGAGACTATAGTTCTTTTTTTTTTTTTTAACTTCCTCTGGCCTCGTTCCCTCCAAATTTTAATTTTTCTACCAAGTCACTCACCAAACCATAAGGAAAAATAATTTTTCAAAAAGTCAACGAAAATCTAGGTATTCCAGTGTCGAATATCAAAACAAAATAATTCCCCGCCAAACTGCTGTTGGAAGAGGAAGAGGGGTGGTGAAGCAAAATTCCTCAATTTATGAGATAACAGTTTAAAGAAAACGAATCCCAAACTACAGTGCTATGGACAGGGACATTCAGTTTCTTTACCTTGAGGGTTATATTGGGCTTCCTCTTATTCCAGCAGAGGAAATAAAAACAGGAGCTGCTGGAATTGAGATTAAGTTGGTTTCACCAGCAAGTGGTGGGTGGAGGTAAAGGGCAGAAAGCGCAACAAAACGTAGCAAGGACAAAGCATTTGGGATCCACGTTCTCTTGCCTGAGTAATTGAAAAGGACTGAGATTCTTCTAGATTTGGCTCACCAGTGGACGATACACCACCACTCATAAAGGATCAGGTGGCCCACCCTACCCTACACCGCCATGAGACTATAATTCTTTATGGAGGTAGAAAGCCTCAGCTTTCTTCTGCAGAGCAGCTGGTAGTTTTGAACTGCTGACCTTGCAGTTAGCAGCCCAACATCTGGTACAGTGGTGCCTGACATATTGCTGGTGAACAACTAATTTTGTCAAATTAATAAAAATATAGGCATAAAAGCATACAACAGCATTTTCCAACAACTTGACAAATAATGCTTTGTGCTTTACAAAGGGTCATAGCTTTAGAACCAATTGAATATCCTTTGTATAGTCTAATGTCTAAAAACCTGTCTGCTTTCTGTGTTCACTAATGATCCTAACAATGGGAGTGTTTACATTAGCCCAATTAATCCTTCCAGCAAGCAGTGGCATTACTGCCGGGTGTGAGGTGAAAACACCAGCACTACTGTGGGCAGGGGCATTACCAAAGTGACTATAAAGTCCTGCCTGGTGTTTGGGCAGAAGCGTATTTTCTTTTAAGTTAAATACCCTGTAGTTAATTATAACAACAAACGTTATTTTAGTCCAGCTTACATGTATCAATATAAACTCAAGGCTCAAACTCTATGCTAATTTGCTTTTAAAGCTTCTAATGCATTCTAGCCAAAGCTATCATGAGTACCCAGCTCCAATGCTGCCTCACGTGGTTTCATCAGCATGTGCTACACAACATATTGTTGTTTCAATTGCTTCCAGTTTACTTATAGTCGTGGATTTTGTCAGCTTTTACTGGTGTTTTAGCTCCACCATTGTCCTAGGTACTATTTGTGAACCTATATCAATACGTTTTTGAGAATAAAGTTGTAATAAATAGATAAAAATTTAAAAAAATATTTGTTCACCTACTCAATATATGGCAACTAATAATGTTGTAATTCAATGTAGAAAGATTTTAAAGGGCAATTTTGTTGTCGTATTCATATACTCTAAGAAATAATGCATTACTGCAAGTCATAACTCTATCATATATTATTCCACCAGAAGTTATAATACTAGTTCACACCAAACCTACTGTTGCCACTAACAACATGCCAGGGAGGAAAATCTTATTATTATATGTTTTAGATAAGAAACAGGCTGATGAGAGATCAAGTAACTTACCTAAGGCCACATACTTATTACATGGAATTTTTAGCTCTAGAGACCCAGTGCTAAGTAACATTCATGCTAGCAATTTTCCAAGTTAGCTGAAGAGCAGTATTTGCTTTTGCACAACATCCCTCCCTCTGACCATCTTCACCTGCATACTCCCACTCATTCTCACTTACAAGAAACCAAACACTCATAACTCACACAAACAGTTTATTATGGTTGACAAACAATGTGTCTGCATATACTAGCTTTGCTTTAAACAAATGTGTCAATCATTAATCATGGCATAAATCTTTGGGACTATTCCATTTTAATATCAGTTAGAAACAGTGTAATGATTTAAATGATTTACTTTCAAACTCTTTAAAATGGGCCACTCCATGTTTCAGCATTCAATGAGGTCAAACTATGCGTCCACTATGTTATACTTGCTTTTCATGAAAATAAACTATGAATAATCTTCCACAAGAAGCCACGTATCACAAGCCTGCCACTCTGGCTTTCCTGATGACAGACTTACTCTATGTCCATAAGGATATGGCCAGAAAGACAGAACTGAAAAACCGGTTCTCACCATATTGCAAAACAACCAAGAGGAGCGGCATCTGGTGCTTGGAGCTGGAAGTAACGCTGCCTTTCAAATCATGGTATTGTTTCAAACAACAGAAACCAAAAAACCCAAAGCACCAAGAGAGACATCATAAAAAGAAAAAAAAAAAACATTAAAAGATTTTTCATTTCTAAAAGCTTTGCAGTTAGGTGGACCTGACAGGGACTCCTTTAACTTTTTCACTCTTCAGGCCCTGAAGGGATTTCGGTCTTGTCCGCTGTTGCAGCCTTTTACTCATTCATAACCAGGCTGTGTTATCACTGTGTTCCTTCTGGCTGAATTCGATATCATGGCCATTTTGCTGTGAAGTATTAGAAGCTGGGGATGCAGGGAGGTGAGCTGCACACTTGCCCTACAGAAACCCCAGGAGGAGGAGGTGGAATGCTGTGGAGGACATGAACATCAGGCACGTTGGGACTCACAATCTTCAAGGTGCTCTTGGAGACCTAGGAATAATTAACAGGTAAAAGAGACCACTGTTGATAGAATGCTGCCAAGACTCAACACATTTTGAGATAAGAAGACAGAAAGGCAGCTTCAGGTTTATATTTCAGGTTTAAATGTTTAGAACTTTGTTAAGGAATGGGCACTACAGAGATGAGTCAGGTTCTAGGCATGAAGGGACAAGTTTGAAATGGCTTGAAAAAAAAATCCTCTTGTTGGGAGTAAAGAGGTGGTGGAAAGGATGCCTGGCAGAGGGAAAAGCAGGTACAAAGGCAGGGAGGCATGAGAAATTAGGGCACATTATGCTTTCTCACAACTTTCCAGCCTAGAGACCTCTACCTCCTTTGAATTCCTTTAGCACATACCCTATTCCCTCTGCACATTCTTCTTGGCTTGTGATAGCTCCTCAACTAGCAGTTTTATAATTAACCTTTTCTCTCGATTCATGTCTCTTTTCTGGAAACAAATAAGGATCTCTTAAGTGGCAGGGTTCTTTTTCTCTCTCCAGATGCCAAGAAAGGTGCTTTGCAGTCAGTAACCAATTGCTGTTGAATTGGTTCTGGCTCACGGTGGCCCATAGTGTGCCGGAGAGAAAGTGGGCTCTACAGAGTTTTCAAGAGCTCATTTTTCAAAGGCAGATCGCTAAGCCTTTCTTTTAAGGCACCCCAGCCAGCCTCAAACCTCTACTCTTTTGGTTACCAGTGGAGTGAGTTAACCATTTACATTATCATAGACTCCTTGAATGGCTGTTGCTGTGCATCACTGAGTTGATTCTGACTTAGTGACCCTATAGGACAAGCTAGAACTGCCCCATATGGTTTCCAAAGCTGTAATATTTACAAAAACAGACTGACATATCTTTCTTATAGAGAAGCTGGTGGGTTCGAACAAATGACCTTTTGATTAGTAGTAAGTGCTTAACCACTGAACCACAAGTGTTTCTTTTATGGAAAAGACACTAATAAATAAGGATCGCTTGACCAAACCCATCAACTTAGGTAGTTAAGCTTCCATT